GGTTTAATGTTCTGCGGTCACCTTCCTTCCTTAAAGTGTTCATAATTTTTTTTTTACCAGGTCTTATAGTAAGGAGCTCCGGTAGCGTAGTGGTTACGAATTAGGCTTCGAGCTGCAAGGTCAGCAGTTTGAAAGTACCAGCGGAACGTGGGAGAAAGATGAGACGGTCTGCTCCCATAAAGATTTACAGCCTCGGAAACCCTGTGTAGGGTCGCTATGAGTCGGAACCGACTCCACAGCACAAAACAACAACAACAACATAGACGGTGTAGCTGGTCCTGACGTGAGGGCTGGGTGACCTGGAAAAGTCCAGTGTTGGAGGGGGCATCTGAGGAAAGCCTGGCTAGGCAAAGAAGATGGGCTGAGGGCCAGGTTGGCGTTCTTTGAGGACAGGGCCTGGCGCCAGCACAAGGGCTCAGGATGTGGGGCATTGGGATCCTGAGGCACATCCATTTATGAGGAAGTGGAGGCAGAGGAGCAGGGCTCAATCTGCCCCAGGGAAACCTGAGGATAAGCACTGGACCCTCTTGGAAAGGCAGCCTGGTCTTGCTTTGTCCAGTACTGGGCTTTCTGGAATGTAGTGGGTGGATACCTTTTAGAGCTACTGGGAAGTCCAGAGGAGAAAAACACTCCCAGAAACTGCTCTGTAACCACAAGCAAGGGGATACTTCCCTGGGGCCTAATGCGTTTCTTCATTTGGGTGGGTCCTCATTGGGTGTTTGGTGAAGTATTGGTCACCTAGCTGTTGGAGTAAAGAATCTGCGACCTCCACGCAAGTCCGGCTAGCTTTGTTCTCCAGAGACACATGCACTCTGGTGGGGCATGGGGAGAGAAGGGCACACAAAACCTCCACTCCTGCTCTGTGAAAGGCTTGAGCTTGCTTCTCAGGTCTCCCTCAGATTTACTGGCTGGGCCTCTTACACAAAGCTTAAGTTGTCTGAGCACCTACAATATAAGATTGCTGTGAGGATGAAGGCAGAGGATGCTGGCCAAGTGCCCTGGTCAGTGCCAGCCTGGTGGCCTGGTTACTATGATTCGAATCCATCAGGGATCTGGGAGGATATTTGGGCCAGCAGGACTCAGGTGGGAAAGAGGAGAGCCCGGAGCCAGTAGGTGTGTTTGGCACTTTTAATGAGTGAGTGGAAGGGATCAAGGAAAAGCTTGAAACAGAGACCAGAGCAGAGCAGAGCCGCTCGTGCTTGATGCTGGCGGATGAGCAGGCTTTGCAATGGGGGGCAGAGTTTCTTTCAGTCCATTTCTTTACTGTAGCCCCTTCCTTGTAAAATCCTGTGAATGACTGAGCTATTCCCACAAAATATGTGTTGCTTTTGTGACCCTTGCAGTTGTGGATAGGATTCTATTTGAATTACATCTTTTGTTCTGTTAATGAGGCCATAACACAAAGATCATTGACAGATACCAGAAGAGAGGCTTGCAGAAGGAATCCACACAACTGACATCCTGCTTGGGAGTTTTAGCCTCTAGAACTGTGAGAAAATAAAATTCTGTCCTTTCAAGTCACCCCCTTGTGATCTATCTGTATGGCAGCACTCAGTATTGGGGCTCATCTGCGGCCAAGCAGGGTAAGGGTTCCCAGGGAGAGTGGCTGGACCTCTACTTGGGTGTGTGCTGACTGGTGCAGCTCTCCTCCTACCCTGCTTAGTCTCTGGGCTTCTCTATCCATGCTACCTTCTTTATTGCAATGATGCAAAAGACCAGAGCAACAGCATTTATGTTCTTCAGCCCGGTGTGGCCTGGGCTATAGCAGGCAGGCTTGCAGATTCAGCCTTTGGAAGCAGTGTAGTGAGTGATGAGAGCCTTCTGTGACCTCAAGCCACTTCCTTAGTCTCTCTGATTCTCAATTTCCTCAGGAATACTTTGGATTCAAAGTGGAACTTCCCCAAGGTATTGAAATCATGATGTAAAGGTTTTAATAGCACCATGTGGGCACACAGTGGAGTCCCTGGGCTGCTTGAAAGGTTAAATACAGGCTGCTAACCAAAAAGCTAGTGGTTTAGAAGCACCCAGAGGTACCTCAGAAGAAAGGCCTGGCAACTTGCCTCCAAAAGGTCACAGCCGGGAGTTGGAATCAACTTGACATTTGTGGTGTGCACCCTATTAAGTGGGTCAGGAAAGCATATGCAGGGGTTAAGGAACATGGGCTCCTGGTGGCAGTGACAAGAAGTACAGGTCATGTCCCCTTAATAGTCTGTGGGTTGTGGGGGTCCAGGGAGGGACTTGACAGGGCCCAGCTGTCTCAGGACAATGGGACACGGCCGGACCCTGGGTGGTAAGTGCCAAGTGCAGAGATGTGTTCTGGTCTTGTGCATATAGCAGCAGCTCACACATACCAAGTACTAAATGGAAAACAGAAACCTGGTGTGATGCTGTAGGTAACTGCAAAACCAGCGTTTCAAACCCATGAGCTGCTCCTTGGAAACCTTTACAGGGTCACTGTGAGTTGGAACTGAATTGACAGCACATAGTGGTTACAAATCTGGCTACTAACCTCAAGGTCAGCAGTTCAAAACTACCAGCTGTTCCACGTGAGAAAGATGAGGCATTCTGCTCCCGTAAAGATCTGCAGCCTCGGAAACCCTGTGCAGGGTCGCTATGAGTCGGAACCGATTCCATGGTACTTAACAACAACGAACACCACCACAAATGGTAAATGGCCTAGGTTTCTGGTTGGTGAAGGTAGTTTGCAGACAGCTGCTGACCTAAAGATTGGCAGTTCAAACCTACCCAGAGATGCCACAGAAAAGACTTGGCAATCTATAAGAAAACCTGAAGGAGCAGTTCTACTCTGTGACATACGGGGTTGTCATGAGCCGCAAGTGACTCGATGGCAATGAGTTTTGGCTTTGACACCATGAGCCGGGTATCTTTCTAAGTACTTTACTGACTGGGTGCCTCACTCAGCCCTCAGGAGTGTACCGTTTTGCAGAAGCAGACACAGAGCCTCAAGATCTCTGAGGTATGGCTCCCAGACAGCCTGACTGCAAAGCCTTACAGCCACGTAGACTATCTTCCTGCCCCTCTACAGTCCACACCTTAGATACCACTGGAATCTTGGGACCCTGGCCTCAGGGATCTTCACTGATCTCTCCATCTGCAGTTTTCTCTTGTTAAGGACTGAGGTATGACCTGCCTGCTCTGCTGAACTTGCAAGAAGCAGCATTAGCTTCTGGCCTGACTTCCTGTCACTGGAAGGTTATCAACAGCCACACATATTCCTCAGAAGTGACAGAAATATCAGCTTTCTTTCCTCATACATGTGTCCCTGTTTATTCAGAAGGTTATTATCAATCCAAATCCACTGCCATTGAGTCTAACTCGTATCACTACTTGTGTTACAGAGTGGCCAGGAGGGCAAGACTTTGTCTCTCATACTTCAGACATATCATCAGGAGGGCCCAGTCCCTGGAGAAGGACATACTGCTTGGTAAAGTGGAGGTTCAGGGAAAAAGAGGAAGACCTCCATTGAGACGGATTGACACAGTGGCAGCAGCACAAGAACAATTGTGAGGATGACCCAGGACCAGTCAGTGTTTCACTCACTGGAATTGGAACTGACTCGACAGCACCTAACAACAGAATCAACCATTACAGAAACAGATTTCCAGGCCTTTCTTCTGCGGTGCTTCTGGGTGGGTTCAAATCGTTAACTTTTAGGCTAGTGTGGTTGGTAAGTGCCTTCTAGTTGCTTCCAATTCCTATCCACCCCTTATGGACTTTCTGCAAGCAGCTGATTGGCTTGAACGGCCAACTTTGTGGTTAGCAGTCCAGTGCTTATCCGACTGCCCCATGCCAGGACTCTTTAGGGTAGCTGTGAGCACAAAACACTTACACTTCCCTGGGACCATATTTTCATCCTCGTTTAATTAAATAGAAAAAAAAAGTCAGTGTTCTAGAATTTTGGTACATTTCAAATATATTTTATTACTTTTCTTTTTGTCTTAGAAAGAATATGAAACCTGCATGCAACGCTAATGGTTTCTGACATTTACATAGCATATAACACAGCAGTACAAGGTGACATATACTGGAAAGGTACATGTCGAGGGAGCCATTCTTAGAGCATATTTACACAGGAAAGGATGCTTGGTCATCTTAGCTTTCAAACAAGGACTGCCCTGATTAAATGGGAGGATTACCCAGGGAGTCACCAAAGTATTGCTTCAGTACTGCATGTTTCATCACAGGGAGAGAAAGAGACGCTGGAAGGTTTTCCTCATCAACAGAATGTGTGTGTGTGTGTGTGTGTGTGTGTGTGTGTAAATGTACAGAGTGAGCATATTCTTACGTTTTCTCCTAAGGTTTTCACTAACAATGTTGGGAGCCTCATCTGCTTCTGGAAGCATTAAATACAGAATTCGCAACCCTCCATTTGAAGAAAAGACCCAATACCTTCCTGAAGGATCACTGGCTATCAAAGGGTCTTGGAAATGTATTTCTGAAGTGTGTACAAATCAACTGGGGAAATGAAGCACATTTCTCTGACAGCCAAACTTGAGTTCCTCAAAGAACAGATGCAGAGAGAGACGTGCTCCAGCTTGCCTGTTGACTGGAGCCACTGAGGCACCACACTGTGGCCTTGACCCACCAGGAGCCTGAGAGCCTGTGGTCGCTGTGTCGAGACCCCAGGGACTCTGAACGGAAGCTTCCTGGGCTAGAAGCAGAGCAACACTTGTGAAATGCCTCAACCAAGCTCATTATTCCTCCCAGATGCTTATAAAGGCCAGACACAAACATAGTGATGTATGGACAGATATAAAAAAGCACTTTTCAAAAAGGAAAGGCATGAGTTTCCCCACTTTTCGGTAAAAAGCAGCCTGTGATGGAGGCGGGAGCACAAGAGACAAGTCTCACATCTGGAAGCCTTTTGCACACAGCTATAAAATGTAAAAACTGACACTTGGTAAAAAGTGCTTTATAACAATATATGATTCGTGCTTTATGCCTGTGAGAAAGAAAGGTGGTTTTTGTTGTTGTTTTGAAATCTGCAAAGTCCTGTATTCAAGTCTCCCAACCAGTCTGGAGTTTTCATATCATGGTTGTTTTTTCAGCTTATTCTTCGTAGACCCTGGGAAGGGAAAACAGGCATGTAAGTGGCTTGGGACAGGAACCAAGGAATTCACAAGTGGATGGCTAAGCTCTTTCATGTCTGTAGGGAGGTGCTTCTCTCCCAGGACTGGGCAGGAGCTGGGAGAGGTGGGAGGGGCATCTTGAAAGATGTGATCACACTGACCACTTTCTAAACAGCTTCCACCTGTGCTGCCTCATTTTGTCCTCAAAGTCTATGAAGCAAACCCTCTTTGCATAAGCACGATCAAAGGCTCAAGAGACTTAAGACTGCCCAGTGAACACTGAACATTAGTGGCAGCAGTGAGTTCTGTTTCCAGCATGGTGATGGCTTCTATGATTCCTCATCTGTGCTCTGTCCTTTCTTGTAGAGGAGGCAGATGGGGGAGTAGGGAGATAAGGCAAAGTCGCTCCTCCCTACACTTGTTGTTGTTGTTGTTATGTGCCGTGGAGACAGTTCCGACTCATAGTGATCCTGCATAGGGTTTCTGAGGCTGTAAATCTTTACGGGAGCAGAAAGCCTCATCATTCTCCTGCAGAACAGCTGGTAGTTTCGAATTGTTGACTGTGAGATTAGCAGCCCAATTCATAACCTCTACACTACCAGAGCACTACACTTAGGGCTATATAACAGGGCTTCAAAAGGAATGAAAAGATAATGGTCCCTTGTACCTTTCTGTAGTATTTTAACCAAAGAATGCATGCCCTCCAGGCAGACTCCACTTCTAGAAGCTGCTGCTCCCTACTGTGGTCCCTAGCTGAAGACAGGGATTGTCATTGTCCCCTTTGACTTGTTATCACCTTTTCTTGGCTGTCTTGAGCTCACCTTCAACAGTTATCAGGCCTGCATAGATCTACAAGCTGACCTTGCTCCCTCCTCTCCCAACCTGTCTTCATTTAGGTATTTTAATTCCTGCTAGTTCTACCTCAGGACTCCTGATGTGGCATTGTAGGATCAGCAGTGGACTGCAAACCACAAGGTCAGCCGTTCAAACCCACCAGCTGCTCCTCAGAAACCCTATACAGGGTCTCTGTGAGTTGGAACTGACTCAACAGCGCTTAACAATGACACCAACAACAGTTCTCGCTCTGGAGTCCTTGGACGGCACAAATGGGTAAGCACTTGACCACTAGCTGAAATGTTGGCAGTTTGAACAGAGGCATACTGTACCACAGGTGTGGTGATGTGTTAGTGAAAAGATATAGCCTTGAGCACCTGATGAAGCACAGTTCTACTATGCAAAAGTTGATGACAGCTAACAATGACAATTGTTCTGCCCATGGCTACCCCGGGGCCATACTTCTCACACAGACAGCCCTTCACACCCTCTGTCTCAGCTCACTCCTGATTGTGTGAGACCACCTAATCATGCAAGGGAATAAATGCCTGAGGTTGTTGTTCCCATGGCAACCAGAAGATGCCTAAAGCCCCGGTGGATCTGGGCGCCCTTTCTCCTTTCTGTACCTTAGGTTCATCTCCTTCTCTGAAAACACCTTCTGCATCTCCATTGTGTATTTGTTAAGGCATTATCAACATTTTCCAGGTGGGGAGGGTAAAAGTGTGCCCTATATTTTACCAGGACACCTCAGCACTCAAGAAAGAGTCCTGGTGGCACTGTGGGATTAGCACTGATGGCTAACTGCAAGGCCATTGGTTCAAGCCCATCAGCTGCTCTGAGGGAGTACAATGAGGCTGTCTGCGCCACAAAGATTTATAGTCTTCGAAGTCTTATACGGGCTAACTATGAGTCGGAACTGACTCCATGGCATATAACTGCCTGCATGCCACCTCTCCATCACCCTCTAGGGTCCAATCATCAAAAATGGGAGAGTGCCCCAAGCAGTTAAAGATGTTCTCAGTCTCCTCCAGGGCCAGGCATTTTCCACTTCTGAAGCCCTGACCCTGGAGGGTGATGGACAATGGGTGGGGCAGGTCCTTCTTTGATCACATGATTTGCCTGCCCTGACCTGATAGAACATTTCATTCCTGTCAGATTTATAGAAAATCATCTCTTGCCCTCATCACTTGCTATTTCAAGCAATTGCAGACAAGGCAGCTTTGGAAGCAGCAAACAGGCTCAGGTATTGGGGTCAAGCCCAAATGTCAGCTATAGGAGAGCTGGTCATGGGGGCTGCACTCAGGATGGGAGGGCTGGGTCAGGGGAAGAGGGGCAGCGTAGGCACCCACTGCAGCTGTGCCCTCCACCCCAGGGAAGAGGCAGCACTGGAGGCCTACCTGCTTGCCCTGGCTTCACTCTGTGCTTTAGGCAAGTCAAGGAGCCCAGGTGCACTGTGGGTAAAATATTGGGCTGCTAATTGTAAGTGTGGCGCTGTGGGTTAATGCGCCAGACTGCAAAGCCGTTTGAACTGCAAGGTTGGCGGTTCAAGCTCACCAGCTGCTCCTCGGAAACCCTATACAGGG